TCAGCTAAACATCTAAATTAAATTTATGTAGTGGCTAACAGTAACAGTAACAAAAACAACAACAACAAAGACAACAAGAAGAAATAGCAACAACGTAAACTAATCTAATTAATAACTTTCATGTTTTAAGCCTCATTAATTTTGCTTGTTAACATTTTTAGTTAACAAATTTTGAAGTTTTCTCGCTGCCATAGATTTTTCACATTTTCCAGACAGGAAAAAAACGAAGAAAAAAAAAAAAGAAGTGGCAAAGAAATAGCGAAATAAATATATATCAAAGCAGCTGAAAGACATTTGCATGGCTTTCACTTTTGGCGAAATGGAAATGTGGAAATGTCGAAATGGGGGAAAAGTGTTTTTCGGAATATGAAAAATTTGTCACAAATTACTTTCACTCGACTCGAATTACGAAGGAAACAAAAGCGGATGTCCGCTGAATGTTGACAGAATCCTTTCACTGCCATGCCCCTCATCTACATCTCCTGCTCCCTGCTCCTCCTCCTCCTGCTTCAGCTCACTTTTCCCCTTTGCTGCATGCATCCAGCATCCATGTTTGCATGTCAAATTAAATTTCTATACAAATAGAAATAGGCGAAAGGCAGCTGCTCAAAACCCGCAGCCACAAGCCTTTACAGCGGCCGAAAAAGTGAAAGGATGCACAGGACATGGAAGGAGGAGAGAGTGAGAGGGAGCACAGTAGAGCGGGTGAGGTTGCGGGCGTAGTAGCTGAAAAATGCAGTGACTGTGTAACGCCTTTAATGATGATAAATGCGCAGACAAAGTTCCGCCACATTTAGCGACAAAAATCACTCTAAAATTAGAGAGGGAAAGCATGAAGAAAGGGAGAGCGAGAGATAGGTGCAGGGTAACCCTAACACGCGTATTGGGTTACACAACAAACAAAAATTTAGGGCGCATGCGTCGCACGCTCTCAAAACTGCGACTGCCAGACTCCCGGAACTCTTTGAAACATATGTCAAAAGGTGCGTTGAGCACGCGCTAAATTCCTTTTTCGTTTTTTTCATTTTTCGATTTTCAACAAATGTATTTTTTATCGCCTGCATATCCCATCGCTGCGTGATGCGCACAATGCTATCTCTGCCCATACGATGTATTATATACGACGTATTATATATGTTTTAACTATTTCTATGGCTATTCCCTGGCGTTAACCGCACCCCTTTTTCACCTTGCCTAGCAGCCATTTTTTACGATCCTTTGATTGGGACTCTGATTCTGATATTTTTTGCTTATCATATTTAAAGCGTCAATGCAAAGCAGGGTTGAAAATTTTTAGAGGTTCTCATTTTAGAACGTCCTCCACTTCCACCCCTTTTGCTACCCTACCAGATTGACAGCTGCAAACGAAAAATTGCATGAGATTTCGAATTTTTTCCATTTTTGCGCGCAATTTTTGCTTGAAAAATCTGTAAAAAGCGGGTAAAAACTAATTGATTGAAAAAATGTAAGGAAAATTTGGGAAAAAAAATTTCCTATGAAATCCGCTTAAGTGACATTTTAACCTCTTGCCGAGATTTTCTTTGTCACCCAAAAAATGAAAAAAGAAAAAATCGTAACGTATTTTTTGAAAATGCTATAAATTATTGATGCCTGCATGAAAATGAGTAAATTCTTGGGAACCAAATCTGTTGTGTATTATGAGAAAATGCTAGAGAATTGCAAAAAATACAGGACATTAAACAACTTGCGGGCTGTAAAGTTTCTAGTGATTAGCCAATAAAAAACGTGGGTTATAAGCAAAAGGTGGATCGTTTTTAGTGAAGTAAATGATGTTAGTATTTAATTGATTTTGAGAAATATATACCAAATTATTAATCTAATGGCTTTCATAGCTCCTGAGTTCTGTGAGGTTACATTTTTGGCAAAGAAAAATTTCCTTTGAATCTTATATACCAAATTTGGCAGTCCACGTCATGGTACTTTTTGAGTTCCATGAGGTGTTTTTATTATTTTAATTTTTTTTTTAAACATTATTGATATAAATATTAATTCAAATTGCTGAACAGCGTACGTACCAATTTTGGTTAAGCTACATTCAGTAACTCTCAAGTTCCATGAGGTATACCTGTTATAAATCGCATTTGATGGTAAATAACCTGCAAGTAATTTTAATTCAAGCGGTAATTATATTATATAAATACGCTTAAAATGCACTTGAGATAATGATACATCATATAAATTCAATTTATTCGCATATTTCTTTAAAGATAAACCAAGTCTACAGCAGGGTTAACGCCTTATTATTTAGCTTAGATACCAAAGTACCCCAAAATGCCCCGCCTTGAACCGCTCTGCACGCAGCAGCAGTCCATAATTATCGCACATTTTGCACTCAATTGCCAGCGTTTCGTATTTAAATACAAATATAACGAAAAATTAAAACTTAAATATATGTATTTAATAAAATTTTACGCAATTCTCTTTTTTGTGTTTTTTTTTTCAATTTTTTCAATTTTTTGCTTGGGCTAAATAACTGCAATTACAAAACGCACGAAGCGCGCACAAAGCAAATGCGCAGAATATAAAACAAAAGCAGAAACAACAACAAAAAAACAACGGCAAACTTCACGAACCGCTGCACCTGCGCATGCAAAACGTGTGAGCAGCGAGTGTAAGAGAGACGGCAAGAGCAAAAGAAGTGCCTGGCACGAAATTTATGCAAACGAGCAGCGAAGTGTAGAAAGGCGTGTAATGCGCGCGAGCTGAAAAGAGCAAAGGAGCAGAACACTTAGCAAAGACGACGCCGACGTCGATGCTGACGCCAACGCCAACGCAAGTTAAAAGCGCTAATTGCGTAGAGAACGGCAATCGGTAGAAGTAGAGGAGGAAGAGGGATAGCCTATTGCGTGCGCTTAGCGCATTAAACAGAGCACGAGAGCGACTGCCGCTATTTAAATGAGCAAAGCTCTTGGAGCTTTATACATTTCTACATAAGTATGTGACTCTATATGTGTGTTCGTGTGTGTGTGTGTGCTAGTGTATGTTATGCTTGGCCTGACGATTGGGACATGCATTGGGCGGGCATTTGTATAACTGCATGTGAACATTTGTATGTGTGTCTGTGTGTGTGTGTGTATGTTGAGCCAAGTTGATCTATGTGAGTGCAATAAATTGCGCTCATTGCACAAAGGAGACAAGTGTCAATGGGGCAAACAAATCACCTAATCACAATGCCGAGCGATCATCATTTTTGATGCGCAATGCAACTGTTACAGTTACTTTATATCTACTTCTTCTTCTTCTTCTTTTTTTTTGTGTGATCGTTACGCAGCGGGCAGCGTTTGACGGGCTGGCAAATAACAATGGTGCAACGGCACTTGGTGTTGCCCGTTGCCGGTTTTTGCATTGTCCTTGCGCAAGCTGCGCTTCCCACGCTGCAGCTACTGCAATTGCAGTGCGTGCGCGCGCGTGTGTGTGTGTGTGTGTGTATGTGTGTGTGTACCTTTACACCTGGCCAAAGGACATAGATTTCTGTTTCTTTTTGATGCTGCAGGTTGGCCTTTTGATGTGCATTGAGCTCTTTTGATTCTTAATTAAAACCCAAAACTGACATCAGATTTATGACTCTTACTCTCTCGCTCACTCGCTAGCTCTCTCATTCTGGGTCTCTTTTACTGTTTACCTTTTTGGGTGGCACTTCCTCGTAATTCTTCAATATTCCCCCAGTTTGTTGCCAAACGGTAAAAAATCAAATAATTCCATTGCTTTTTTCTCTTTCTCTCACTTGGTATATTCTTATCTCTGCTTCGGTCTTACGGCAATTCGTTTGCAGTTTTTTTTTACTTTTTTTTTTTTTTGTGCTGCAGCCTGTTGCATTATCCTTGGCGGCGCATCCTTTAGAAGCACTCGCTGTTCGGATTGCGCAACAGGCTTGAAGAGATTTTCCTTTTTGTTCAGCGAAGCAAGAAAATTGGTCAAAGATTTTGCGACTATAAAAAACAAAACAAAAGCTGAAAGGGAAAGGAACTTATGGATTATCTTTGTGGTAGAAATGAGAGAGTAGATTGTAGATATTTCCTATCTATATGGCAGGCATAGACAGTGGAGCTCTAAAACAAGTTTAAATGTATTTAAACGTAAATTTTAAAGCTGATTTCTTATGCATTTACAATATTGAAGTTTTTATTTAATTTTTTATTATTATTAAATGGTTTTTTTTTAATACTTTAATTTATTGTTCTATATATCTAATTTACCCTGTCATTTTATTCTTTGTTTGTTATATTTATATTCATATAGCGGTATTATTTACAATTAATTCGTAAATTTAATTTGCCAAATTTGTTCACACTTTAATTTAAATATTCTCCTACATATTTCTTCAATTTACAACTAATTCATTCTCCTCTTTATTAAATTTCTATAAGAAATATCCAACTAAGCAAACCCTCTCAAGGTTCATTCATTACCTAATATCAAGCTGTCAGCTTTCGCACTTCAAGTCTGCACGAAATCGAAAATTATTTCCATATGAGCTGCTGCTTAAGGACACTTGGACAGTGCCAGCAGAATGTCCTGCCGGCAGCTCAGACAGTTTTAGGGCCCTAAAAATCGTTTACACATTTTCACACTTTCTTAGCTTCCCTCAGCTTTAGTCCTTGCGTCCCTTGCTTCCGCCAGGAGTTTGCGCATTTCCATTTCCCTCGAGGCAAATATTAAAATGAAATCCACAGCTCGTTTCGTGTCCACACATTTTCATTTTTATTATGTAAATCAACCCCCTTTTTTATGGGCGTACGTTTTTTATGAGCGAGTGGCTTATTCAAATGTCGTAAAAAAAAGGGTTGCTGAGATTTTCGTAGAGATTTTGTTTGGGGGTTTATTCATAATGTTGGCTTATGTAAATGCCAACCCTTTCGCCGCTGATAAGCAATGCGTTTTGATTGGCTCTTATGTAAGCCATGCAAATCACTATAAAAAACAGCTAAGCTAACAAAATGGTTTCCATCTCTCTCCCTCTCTCACTCTATCTCATTCAGTGGGCTTTAAATTTGAGAAGGATGAAACGCTTGTGGACACAATTATGCGCGATGTTAGCAGGACAATGCAACACAACGAAACGAACAATGGCCAGGATAATGGTCAACTAAAGCTGCACGACAGCGATGAAGTAGGAGAAGAAGAGGAAGATGAGGAGGAGGATCAGCGAGCAACGACACTTGGCAACAACAGCGACACTTTGTTGTCTTCCTTTCGGCTGAAAAGCGAAACACAGGACGAACGGCAACAGGAGCCTCAGGAGCTTTGCGAACAAAGCTCAAAGGAAGCTCAGCAATTCGTCAAACAGGAGCAACATAACGGTGAGTACATGGACAAAGTTGAAGATTGAAGATCAGATGGGAATTTTGGCAACAGGGAGACTCTCTAAGAGCTATAAATGAATATGGGTTATATGGGAGACAAAAAGTGTACTGCTTTTATATTATTTATGCATATTTCATGTTTTCAGATATTAAGAATATTTTAGGAATATAATAGAATAGTAGAATAGAGATGTACAGTTGCAAATGTCTAACTTGTATATAAAGCATTCGCACCACAACTTTTACAAATGTAGCTGTACATGTTTGTTAATCGTAAACCCATTTCGCATTAGCATCAACACTCTCTTTAAGCCTCTCTCAACCCCCTCGCTGAAAACTCGTAAATGCTGTCAAAAATAAATTCTGTGATAAAAATCACATTTTTGTCAGCATTTGGCAAATATTTGCGATTTAGGGTAGGAAATCGGAATCCCTTATATACATACGTATATATAAATATATGTATGTGTATATAAACAATATAAAAGGCATCTGTGCCTTATTCAATCAGCTTTAAAGTATCTCAAGTCTAGCCACAATATATATATATATTACCATAGATATATAATGAATTCGAATAAAATTTCAATTAGTCAACAGCTCACTTCTCACATATTCAGGCCTCTACTCTAACATCCGATTTTTGGCGCGAGTCCTGGCAACAATTTTGCATGCATCTTGGCTTCCACTTTTTACATACCCAATCTATAGCTCGAATAACAACACATTTTGATTCGTGCTTTGTCTGTGTAACATGATGATGCATCGAGCACGATGACATTCAACGACGTCTCGCATTTTATTGATGTCCTTACAACTACCAAAATAGATGGAAAAAACGGCCTCTATTCCATGCCTTATTTTGGGTCGAAAAAAAAGAAGAAAACGTCGCAAATCAATTGCGTTGTCTGCGCGATAAGAAAAAATCCGTAAAAAAGTAGAGGAAAAAACAAAAAGAAAGCAGCTCGTTACGGTAGTTGACGTGCATTTGACACCCCTCGAGCAGGGGACACTTCGAGGGCCAGGACCCACTCAGGTAGTCCTTGACGCATATGCATATAATTTTGCTGCGGTGCCAACTTTTCCGCTTTTCCCTATCAACCCCCAATTGCAGTAGGTTTTTTAATGCAATTTTTAGCATGAAAATTTGTGTTTTTCCTTTCCTCTCTTTTTATTGTGGACTGAGGGGTGATTTTTTTTGGAAAGTTTCTACATTTTTTGTTTTTAATTGCAAAAGGTATTTTGATTTATTTTCGCTGATCTTGAGAGTTGCTTTTCAGAATTTTCTTTCCTTTTTTGCTGGGTGGGTTTTCCCACGAGTTTTAGGACTAAGCAAATCTTGTCTGTGGGCTAGCTAATGAAGGCCAAGTAATTAATGTGCAAAATTGATCATTGTATTGCTTAGAAGTCTCTTAAAAGAATTTTGTAGTTTACTTAGGTAAAACACAATAATTTTATGGAAATAAAATGTGGGTAAATTTTAAATCATATATGATAAAAAGTAAATCAAATGAAATTAAATTCGGTCAAATATAAAATCTGTAAAAAGGTTTTTTTTTAGTAAGTTCACCTCTTGCTGCTTCTGTTGAAAACTTTCATTCATTAATTTAGATTTTTATCAGCAACAGTTTTCTTTGCACCGATAAGAAATCGCTTTACTGTTTCCCTTCTGCCACATTTATGGGGCACTAAAAATCAGAAAACTGAAAATCAAAAGCCGCAAGAACAAGCCCACCAGATAGGCTCTGTGGAAAAGCCATTCGAAAATACGGATTCGGAGAGAGAGGTGGAGTGAAAAGGAAAGAGGAAATACCTGCATGTACGCAGAGCCAACTACCTTTATGACTTCATTAGACAATTCACTTTTCTTCACTTTTTTGACCAACATGAACAAATTCTCAACTACACGAATTTCCCTTTTCTTGACCTTTTCATTTTATATATTTTTTAGTATTTTTTTTTTTAAATATATTTTTCGGTTGCCTTCTATAAAATACAAGTAAAAGTAATCCAGTGTGGGGTGCTTGACTAGAAGATACCCTGAATGCAGTTGCATGCGATGCTTATTGAGAGCTCATATATAAATCTGATGCTTATAGCTCTTTAAGCTAAAGATACACTAACAAATAAAGTTTGACATAATTCGATTAAAGCTCGATACGTTATCGATTATTCAAATGATATTTGGATATATTCGCCCTTTAGAGGAACCTACGTTTAACATTAATTCTCTCTCACCTATAATATACATGATCTCCTCTCTTCTGCACACCGACAGAAGACATACATTCATACAATTATTCATTCCAATCGATAACACATGAAAACACCTTCGAAAGTCCACCACTTTCCCTTCCGCCTGTTACATACTCACTCCGCCAGCCAACATACCCCGTTTACTCACTCCCACGTACCTCAGGCTATAAAAAACGCTTCAACGTTTATGATCTTTGCCTTTTGCATTGACTTAACTAATTCTCAGCAATGAGCGAGGTTTACGTTAGCTAAATAGTTAGCATATTTTTTTTTCGATTTATATGCGCGGTACACTTGGAAAATAAAAACAGTCAAAAGTCAAAGGTACGAAAGCCGTTTAGCTATTTAACGTGTCCTTGCGAACGTGAGAGCGGCTGCTAGAGATTCAGAACCAGTAGCCCAGTGCTCAAATAGTCAAGTCAGTCAAACGGTTAAGGTTCGAGTCTAATTAACATGTAGCAGCATCCTGCGTACAGCATCCTTTGTGCAGGGTATCGGGGCATATGAGATGTATCAAGTTTTCGTTTTTTATGATTTACGTGGAAATCGCCGCAATTTACAACGCATCGTAAAAGATGCAAGCAGCGCAAAAACTACACGTGGAAAAAATGAAATGAATTAACTTGTTACGGTTTACAGATACCCTGGAAATAATTATGGAATTTTTTTAAAAATTAGTTGTGAACTAGATTTAATATTTTCATATTGTCTAACTTATGTTAAGATGAAATATAGAAAGTCTTCTTTGATTCTAGTCAGTTTATTTGCGGCGTCTATTACTTATTTACATAATTAATATATGTATATACTTATAGCCCACATAAACATTGTCTTACTTCGATCATACCCACTAAGTCCAAATATGCACTTATAGGGTATCTAAACAGTTCAAGTACCCGTAGCCTACTTGAGCTCGCTTTAGGTGGTTATCAGAGTGTCGGAAGCGTTGCGCATTTCGGGCGTTAAATGCTTCTTGGCAGGACAAATGAATTTCGTACGATTTTCATTTACCTGACTTCTGACTGACTTTTTATGACTTTGTAACAATTTTTTATGATATCTGTTTTTTTTTTTTTTTTCGTTTTGGCCATAAAAAATTGTGCATCTTTTACCTGCTGCAAGTTGTTTTTTATATATATATACATATGTAGTACATGTATCTCACAGACATTTTTCACCTTGAAATTTGACTTTTCGTTATAATTTGTTTGTCTGTTTCTATTATTTTTCCTTGCGGAAGTTTCCCGGAAAATCGTGTGATAATAATATTGTGCGTTTTCACAGGGAAAACCTGACTTTAAAAAATATTGGTCGAGAGTAAAAAATATTTTATGCGACAGTAAACAATTCTTTGTTTGCTACTTAAATTAGATTAAATTTTTATATTATTATTAGTATTTGTATTTTTAAGTAAATAGTTAACTAAATATTCAAGCAATTAGTAAAATTCAATTCAAACATCTACGTCGATAAAACTCACATGAATATAATAATAAATAAGAAATAAAATAAATATAAACTGAATAAAATAAAAAAATAAGCAAAGTACGAAAGAAAGAAGAGAAATAACTGCTTGCAAAGTGGGTGGCAGAGCAGCGGAGGGAAATAGCTAGGAGCCGGCTGGCAGGGAGGCAGGACGATGTCTGCATTGCGAGCATGTGTGCATAAATGAATGGCAAATAAATGTGAGAGCAGGAAGAACAAAGAGCCAAAAGCAGACGACAATGGGCGCTACGCGCAGCTGCAGTCGGCGTCGACGCAGCGACGCAGCTTTAAAATATTTTTACATAGCACATATATACGTACACACACACACACATACGTTCACTCAGATTTTGAGGCGTGTGCGCCAATCATAAAATAATATGCATACACACACTGACTCATACACACGCATGCATACGCACACACCGTCGCAGTCGACGCCAACGCCATTTGAAAGCTAAATTTAAATTTTAAGCCACACCCCAAACAAGCGCACGCATACTGCACACTAACGCACACACACACTCACACAAACACAATGGAGCCCAACGAACGGCAGCCGAGCCGAACAAAACGAACGCCGCCCGCCACCCGACAACCCACACACACACACACACACTCGAGACATTGTAGTAAAATTTTAAAACGTATAAAATGTTGGAGCAGTCAGACGACACACACAAACACACTCACATTAGCTCACACTCGCTCACACAGTTACACTCGCTCTCTCATGCACGCTCAAATGCAAACACAGTCTCACTCACTGGCCGACCAATACACTCAAGCGCGCGAGCGCACGCTCATTTCTCCAAGCAGCGAATGGGAATGTATGTGGAACGCGTTTCTAACAGGCATTCAAACCTAGAACGGTAAATAATGAGTGAGCAAAGGCAAACGCTCTCTATGTAAGCAACGAAACAGGCGAGCGAGCGAGAGAGAGCGCGCTTTTCGTTCGTTAAGCTCACACACACACGCACACAAGCACACACATAGGCACACACACGTACGCTCGTTGGCGGCTTTTTTTTTGCTGTGGAGCCAAATGCAGTTGGCGCGCCGACGTGAAAACCAGTTAAGCGCGTTGACTCCGCTAAAGCACATCGTGCAGCTCGTCGTTCGTGTGTATTTTTTAACATAGCAAAAAAAGAAAAAGACAAGAAGTAGAAGGAGCTGTTTTTTAAGTAACGGCAAAAACCACCCCTAACTTAAACAGATTTTTATTTGGGCGCAAAAACACAAAATTTTAACTCAAA